CATCAGAGCAATGCAAATCAAAACTACAATGAGATACCACCTCACATCAGTAAGAATGGTTATCATTAAAAAGTAAAAAATAAAAATCAAAACAAAAAACAGGTGTTGGTGTAGCTGTGAAGAAAACACTTCTACACTGTTATTGGGAATGTAAACTAGTTCAACCTTTGTGGAAAGCAGTGTGGTGTTTTCTTAAAGAACTAAATGATTGAGCTTCCTTATGACCCAGCAGTCTCACTTCTAGATATAGATTTCTGGGTCTGTATCCAGAGGAACATAAATCTCTGTACCAAAAAGACAACTGCACCAATATGTTCATTACAGCACTATTCACAATAGAAGTAACATGGAATCAACCCAGATGCCCATCGAAAATGAACTAGATAGAAAATGTGCTACATATACATGATGATATAGTATACAGTCACAATGAAGAACAAAATTATGTCATGTCCTTTACAACAACATGAATGCATCTGGAGACCATCATATTAGGTGAACTATCACAGAAACAAAAAAACAGAATACTGCAAATTCTCACTCATAAGTAACTCTGGTAACTGGTCACAGGAGCACAAAAGTGGGAATAAGATGCTGGACACTGCTAAAGGAGGGAAGGAGGATGGAGGGAAGGAGGAAGCAGACATCTTGTAGATGACTCTCACTATTTTGAGAGTCATCCATTTATGCCTATATGTTCGAGAGTTTTTATCAAGAACGGATGCTGGATTTTATCAAAAGTTTTTTCTGTGTCTAATTATATAATCATGTGGGTTTTGTATTTATATCTGTTAATATATTTAATTATGTTTATGATCTTATGGATGTTGAACCAGCCTTGCATCCTGGGGATGAACCCTACTTGGCAATGGTGAATGATTTTTGAGATGTGTTGTTGAATTTGATTTGTTAGGATCTTGTTGAGAATTTTAGCATCTATGTTCATCAAAGATATTGGCCTATAGTTCTCTTTCTCTGTTGGATCTTTACCTGGCTTGGGTATCAATGTGATGTTAGCTTCATAACATGATTTGGGATGAGTTCCATCTTTCTCAATTACCTGGAATACTTTCAGTAGGATTGATATCAGTTCCTCCTTGCATGTTTTGTAGGATTCTGTTGAAAAGTCATCTGGTCCAGGGCTTTATTTTGTAGATAATTTTCTTATGACAAAGTCAATTTCCTAGATTGTTATTGGTCTCTTTAGGGTCTTGATTTCTTCTTGTTTCAGCTAGGGGAGGTTGTGTGATGTCAGAAAGTCCTCCAATTCGTTTAGGTTTTCAAGTTTGTTTACATATAATTCTACCCAGTAGTCTCTGATATTCTTTTGTATTTCTTCAGGGTCAGTTGTAATTTGACCTTTTGTATTTCTGATTGTGTTTATTTGGGTTTTTTCTCTCTTTTTCTTGGTCAGTCTAGCTAGGGGACCATCATCTTGTTTATCCTTTCAAAGAACCAGCTTTTTGTTTCATTGATTTTTTGTATTATCTTTTTGTCCTCTATGTCCCTAATTTGGTTTTTTATTTTGGTGATCTTGATTCTTCTGCTGAAGTTAGGGTTTTGGTGATCTTGCTTTTCCAGCTTTCTTAGGTGATTTGTTATAGACTGTTAACTTGTGATCTTTCCATTTTCTTCATATGTGTTTGCAGAGATATAAATTCCTCTCTTAGTACTGTTTTCATGGCATCCCAGAGGTTTCAGTAAGATGTTTCTTCATTGTCATTTGTCTTCAGGTATCATTAATCTTTGTTTTGATTTTCATGTTGACCCAGGAGTTGCTTAGAATCATGCTGTTTAGTGTCCATGTCTTTGTTGTTTTGGGGGGAACTTTATTGGTGTTGATATTTATTTTTATTCTACTGTGGTCTGAGATGGTGCATGGCAGAATTTCAACTTTGTGAAATATGTTTATGCTTGATTTATGGCCAATGATGTGGTTGATTTTATAATATGTTACATGTGGTGATGAGTACAATGCATATTTCATGGTGTTGGGTGGAGTATTCTGTAGGTATCAATTAAGTCCATTTGGTCAAGCATCATGTTGAGGTTCTGGATCTCCTTGTTGATTTTTTATCTTAATGATCTGTCTATGGTCGTGAGTGGGGTATTTAAGACCCCAGTTATGATAGTGTTAGAGTCAATATCTTTTTTAAGTTTACCTAGAAGCTGCTTTATGAAAGTTGGTGTTCCTTTGTTGGGTGCATATATGTTTAGGATGGATATCTCTTGTTGATGGATTGAACCTCTTATGATTATGTAGTGACCTTTTGTACCTTTTTAAATTTTTGATAGCTTAAAGGGTATTTTGTCTTATATTAAGATTGTGGCTTCTGATTTCTATTGTGTTTCATTTGCCTGAACTTTTGTTTCCCATCCTATTACTTTGAGTCTGTGAGTGTCCTTTCTGGTGAGATGAGTTTATTAGAAACAATATATTGCTGCTTCATGATATTTTATCCATTTTGCCATTTTATGCCTTTTCAGTGGTGCATTTAGACCATTCATATTCAGGCTGATTATTGAAATGTGAGAATTTATCCCTGTCTTGAGGTTCTTATAGAGTTTGTTATTGTTGTTGTTTGTTTGCTTTCTCTCTTTTGATTTTTGCATGGATTCATGTGTGTTTTTAATCTTTTCCCTGAATTCTTTGAAAGGTGTGATCATTCTTTTTTCCCTTTCCTCTACATTTAGTGCTTTCTTAAATGTTTCTCATTAAGCTGATCAGGAGGTGGCATAAGCTCTGGATTAACTATATGGGAAAGATTTTACATCTCCATCACTGATGAAACTTAACTTAGATAAGTAGATAATTCTTGGTTGTGATTGTTTATCTTTTAGAACTTTGAAGATTAGTCCCCAAGTTCTTCTACCCTGAAGTGTTTCTGTAGATAAGTCTGCTGCTATTATAATTGGTCTTCCCCTGTAGGTAGTCTGACATTTTTATCTTGTTGCCTTTAGAATTTTTTTTTCTTTTAAAACACTTTGTGAGCTGGGCTCGGTGACTCAGCCTGTAATCCCATTCCTTTGGGAGGCTGAGGTGAGTGGATTGCCTGGGCAGGCGAGACCTCATCCCTACAATAAATCAAAAAAATCAGCTGGGTGTGGTAGCGTGCGCCTGTAGTTCCAGCTACTTGGAAGGCTGAGGCAGAAGGATCGCCAGAGCCCAGCAGGTCAAGGTTGTGGTCGCCAGAAGTGGCCACTGCACTCCAGTCTGGGCAATAATGAGACTCCGACTCAAAAAAAAAACAAAAACCAAACACTTTGTGTAGGTGAATTACTTTGTGTCAAAGTTGGTCTACTCATTTATTGTCTTTCAGGGGTTCTCTGAATCTCTTGTGCTTGAATGGTCATGTCACTGATGAGATGAAGGGAGTTTTCTTGGATAACTTCGTGGAATGTTTGTTCCAGGGTAGTCTCTGTCTCTTTTTTTGCCTCAGGAAATCCAATTACTCTTAGGTTCAGCCTCTTGAAATAATCGCTCATCTCTTGAAGGTTTTGCTCTGTCCTTTTAAGCTTCTTTTCTATCTATCTGGGAAATATTTTTCTATCTATCTGGGAAAGTTTTTGACAATTTGGATTAGTTCCATATGTTGGTCCTCAAGCTCTGAGATTCTTTCTTCTGCTTGGCTAATTCTGCTTTCCATGCATATCAGTTTGTTATTCATTTCATTCACTGTATTCTTTATTGCTGCTATCTCAGTTATCAACTCCTTCATTATATCCTCTTGCCTTTCCTCAGTTCTATTTACTCTCTCTATTAATGTCTTGATATCTGGGGTTGTGGTTTGAGACCAGTCATTCTGGGGACTTTTCATTGTTTGCATTCCAAAGTCTGTATTCTTAGTGTCTGACCTTAGTGTCTGTTTGTGTGATACCCTTCTTCTTTTTGTTTTTATTCATTTGTGTAGATTTTCCTTCTTCCTTTTATTCCCCTCTTCTTTAATTCTGTTATTCAGGGTGGGGGTAACTTTTACTTTTGTTTGCTCAATCTCCTATTCTTCCTTATGCGGATCCTCTGGCTTTGTTTAATTCTGAAGCTGGACTGTGGTGAGAGACTGTCCTTTTTGCCATTTTGAGAATTAATTAAGGTGGAGCTTTGATTCAGAATCTACCTACAGATACCAATATCCATTAACAAGTGTGTGGACCCCTCTGGAACTTACTCCCCACTGCCTTGCAATCTGTGCATGCAGTGGAGGTATAGATTTGCTCCCTGAAAGCAAAATGAGATAAGAGAAAGGAAAATAATGGAAAAAGGAAGAAGGGGGGTTAGAGGAGGATGGAGAGGGAGAGTAATAAGAGGGAACAGACAGATGAACTAACTAACAAATGAAGAGACACAACGACATAAAAGAGTTAAAAAAAACCAAACCTAAAACATACAGACATTTATACAAACACACAAACCAACAAAAAGCCCCTATTAGATGTACTCTCCCTCAAAAATACTCATATACAGACAAGAAGTCTTTAAAAAAAGTAATTAAATAACAGAAACAAAGCAAGTATGAAAATATTATCAAAAACTGAAAGAGAGAGAAAAAAAGTAAAACAAAAAAGCAAACAAACAAACAAAAAATGAGCAAAGCAGTAAGTTCATTCAACTTCCTTTCAGCTCTGATCTCCAACCCATCCCCTCTGCTCTCAGGGTAGGCTGATAGGATTGTTCTCAGAGTGAGTCACATTCCCCAGGCCTATTTCTGGAGGAGGGTGGATCAGATCTGGACTTACCCAGTTTGCTGCCTGTCATGTCTGCCACTCAGGTCTGACCTGTCTATGTCTGATCCAGCATGGGGGATGGGTTTTTATCTCTCCTTGTTTGATGAGATTACCTTAGGCTCCAAGTTGAAGGCTGGGTGGAGCTGGGTGGGGTAATACAGGTCTCTGCCTGTCCCAGACAGAGAAAATGACTGAGGTCAGATTTTCCTCACTGGGAGTGGGGCTTCTCTCCAGCTCTCTCCAATCTTCTCTCTCCATGGATAAGATCAGGGATCCATCCATTTTATTGTCACAGGTGATGGTGTGGACCAGGTGCCAGGTGATAAGAATCAACTGAATTTGGCAAGCTCTTCTCAGAAGAGTCCCGCAGATGATCCTGTGCACCAGCGGCTCCAATCTCCGAGTAATGGGATGTTACAGTCACCTCCAGAGGAGAGTCCAGGTGCGTGAACCCCGTCTCCCCTCAGAGGACTTTCACTCACACACTGGCACACACCTACTCATGAAGAGAGAATTTATGGATGCTGGCTTTTGTGGAGACTCTCACAGTTCAACCTGTCTCATTGCCATCTTGCTGGAAGTTCCAAAGACAATCTTATAAATCAAATAATTTAGTGTTAGGTGTATGAATTAAAGAAAAAGAAAGAAATTAGCTTGTATTTGTTAAATGTTTTAACTCAAAACAAAAAAAATCTAGAAAACAGAAAAATAGAAAAAAATGAGAAATATTAGGCATAAATAAAGCAGAAATATCAAATCTTGGGGGAAGAAACTATCGTGATAATAAGAAAAACCACAATCTGATTATTTGACAAAATAAAGAACAAGATATTTCATCAAGAATAACTAGGAAAAAAAAGACAAAAGCAGGAAGAAATAAAACAGAACTGTTAGATTGGTGAAAGGTGTTTAAAAATCTTAAGGTCATGAAAACATTAATGACTAATTTTGCAAAAGTGTAGTATAAAATATAAAATATTGTAACAATTTATATATATATAATTTTAAAGAAGTGGGATACAATTCAGGTTTAGGCATACAAATGTTCATTATGCAGGTCCCCTTGTTGATGAGGTGTGCCCCTCCTTCCCCTGGCAGTTTCCCCCAACTACCAATCCCACCCCCCTCCACTGGCAGTTTCCCATAAATACCAATACCTTTCTTATAGTATTATGATAATTGTTCAAGGTCCACTTATGAGTGAAAACATATGGTACTCTGTTCTTTGTTTCTGTGATGGATCACTGAATATGATCAACTCTAATCCATCCAAGTTGCTAATGAATGTGAAGTTCATATGTTTATCCTTTTTTATGGCCACATAATAGTCCATTATGTATATGTACCACATTTATTTTATCTAGTTCAGCTTCAATGGGCAACATGGTTGGTTCCATGTTTTTGCTATTATGAATAGAGCTGCAACAAACATGTGTGTGCAGGTATCACTTTGTAGAATGGTCTGAGTACCTCCTATTGGGAATATACCTGGAGCAATTGATATTAATAAAATATAGAATTATTACTTGATTTAGTGGTCAAAAACTTTTTCTTTAAATTTTTTTAGAAAAAAAAAACTGGGCCATATATCGTTTTGGAAGGTTTTTTTTGTTTTGTTGTGTTTTTTGTGTTAGATCTCACTCTGTCATCCAGGCTGAAGTGCAGTGGCATAATCATGACCAACCTAGCATCGAACTGCAGGGTTGCACATTCCTTCCACCTCAGCCTTCCAAGTAGTGGGAACTACAGATGCATGCTACCACGCCCAGTTAATTTTTTAATTGATGGTATAGATGAAGTCTTGCCAAGTCACCCAGGCTATTCTTGAACCCATGGACTCAGGCAATTCCCTCACCTTGGCCTCCCAAAGTGCTGGGATTACAGTCTGGAACCACCATGCCCAGCCAGTTTTGGATGTTGTCAAGTCTTCCAACAAACAGGCCATCCTTATCTTATTGAAAGAGTTCAAAGAATAGAAAAAAAGAAAACAATTCCTCACACATCTTATGAGACATATGCAACCTCAATAATAAAACTGGATTAAAATGGTACAAGGAAATAAAAGTATAAAGCAAACTCATTTATTAACATAGATGCAGGATGCATGAATACACTTTTATGAAACTGAAAACTATACTAACTGTATATAAAATATACCACATATAAATTTGTTTTGTTCCAGAGGCAGAAAATAGTTTAGTATTAGAAAATATGACAGTGTACTTATACATTTTGACAAACAGCATGATAATCTCAGTCACTGCATTGAAATATTTGATAAAAATATCAATATTTGAAAAAGACCAAAATTCAGCACTCATTCATGAATAAAAACAAGACAGAAATAAAACACTTGGTAAATCATTCATGAACCTGACAAAAGGATACTTAAGTTGCATCAAATATTACCTTTACTAATGATACTTTATTTCTTTTTTAATTTTATTTTAAAGATGTGTGGTACAATTCAGGATGAGGTATACAAATGAGCATCATAGAGGTAAATATTACAAAGACCCGTACAAGTCCTCAACTCAAACTAAAAATCATTCTGACATTTTGTGATATCCCTTGTGATAAAGTAGAAGTAGCCAGATTACACCAAGGATCATTCACAAGGCAGAATGTCAGAACACTTAGACTTATAGAATAAATACTTCCCTTAATATATATAGGATCATACTCAAAGTGCATAGTGGAAGAGAGCAGCTTGAAAATTAATTAACATTAGAGTGTGTAGAGAAATAGCTGAACTTTTTTTTTTCTAGATATAGTTGAGCGCCCACAAAACAAGAGCTTAACTCACAAATACTGTTGCCTCTCTAACATCTGCACTTCTTTCACTTCTTTTTCACCTATTTTCTTGATGGCAGTTATTTAGGTCTAAAAAGTTATAATCTATGATTTTTTACTTCAACACAGCCAAAAAGATTATTCCATGCCATAGTAAGGAAGTGTCATCAATTACTAAATAATATTCTTCCAAACTATTTTTAATGTGTGCATTTAAGCTATTAACTTCCTAGTTATCTATTTATTTATATTTTAATTTGCTTAAATTTATTTATTCTATGAAATGTCCAAAAAGGTCAAAACATTCTGATTTATACATATTGAATTAGTAGTGAGATATACTCAATAAAAGCAGGTATCAAATGGAAGGAACATGACAAAGTGAATGCTTAACTTTATTAGGAAATAATTTCTTATGAGCAAATCAAAACTCTAACACAAGAATATATGTTATAATTATTATGTTTATCTAACTACTATTGTGGGAAGATAGCTCTACTGTGTATTTGACATTGAAGCATAGGATTTGGTTTCTCCCAATGTCTTCACAACCACTTCAATAATAAAAATATTTATTAAATGAACTGTATATCACAAATCCAATCACTTTTTTAGAGTATTCAAGAGTTTCAAGAATGATAAAGTTATAAAATTCAAATTGTTAGATTCTTTATAATGCATTGTAGTGAGACACCTTTCAAAAACATCCTTTTTTACATATTAAAAGTACATTAGATGCTTCTGTTCTATTATTTTATTTTATTTATTAAATTTTTATTTTTAAAAGATATGGAGTACAAGTCAGGGTTATACAAATGTTCATTATGCAGGTACCCTTGTTGATGATGTGTGCACCCCCAGCAGTTTCTCTCAACTGTCAATCCCATCCCTCCTCCCCTGCCATTACTGCCAAACCTTTTTTTATAGTGCTATGATAATTGTTCAAAGTCCACTTATGAATGAGAACATATGGTACTTTTTTCCTTGTTTCTGTGATAGATCAGAGTGTGATAGACTCTAAATCCATCCAAGTTGCTGCAAAGACAATATGTTTGTCCTTTATGGCTGCATAATATTCCATTGTGTATATGTATCTCATGTCTTTATCCAATTCAGTTTCTATAGGCAGCACGGTTGGGTCCAAGTTTTTGCTATTGTGAATAGTGCTGCACTAAATATGTCTGTGCTGGTATCTTTTTAGTAGAATGACTTGAGTTCCTCTGGGTATATGCTCAATAGAGGGATTACTGGGTCATACGGAAGGTCAATTTCCAGTTCTTTCAGAAATCACCACACAGTCTTCCAAAGAGGTTGCACTAGTTTGCATACCCACCAGCAGTGTAGGAGTTTTCTTTTTCTGCCCATCCTCACCAGCATCTGTTGTTATATGTTTTATTAATGACGGACATTCTTATTGGGGTTAGGAAGTATCTTAATGTGGTTTTGAGTTGCATTTCTTTGATGATTTAGTGAGACTGAGCACTTCATGTATCTGCTGGCTGCCAGTATATCTTCTTTTGAGAAGTGTCTATTCATGTCTTTTGCCCACTTTTTAATGGGGCTGTTTGTTTGTTTGTTTTCCTTTAGGCATGTTTGAGTTCCTTGTAGATCATGGATGTCAGGCCTCTGTCAGATATAGAGTAGGCAAATGTTATTTTTTTGTTTTTTGTTTTCCCTTTTGTGGACTATCTCCCCTCTCTTTTGATAGTTTATTTTGCTTTGCGGAAGATTGTTAGTTTGATGAGATCCCAAATGTCTATCTTATCTCTTATGGCATTGGCACCAGGGATTTTTATCAGGAATTGGTTGCCAGTTCCAATTTCCATAAGGGTGTCTCCTGCATTTTCTAAGATGTTGATGGTTTGACGTCTTACATTTAGGATTTTGATCCATTTAGAGTTAATTTTTGTGTATGGTGACAGGCAGTGGTCCTGTTTCAATCTTCTACATGTGATTAGTCAGTCTTCCCAGCACGCTTTATTGAATAACTTCTCTCTCCAGTGGTTGTTGGTGGAGGCTTTGTAAAGCCTATTATTTTAAGAAAGTAACCACAATATAAATAGTTTTTGTAATTATGCATTATATTTGTATAATGTTTTAAGGTTTTCAAAAAACTTAAAAGATATATGACCTTACTTTTGGAATATTGTAATAAGTTAAAATATCATAAACTATAACTTATTTATTTATTGCCAGCATCTAATAAAACATTTTTTTTGCCCATGTAGAATTTGGCTGGGTCATTTCGTCCTCTTTTATTCAAAACAGGTATTATTATTATTTTTAATTTCATTTTTTTTCTAACAGTTTTGCATGGCATTAAGACCATGCATAAGAGATTATTGTGAGCCAGGCTCGGTGGCTCAGCCTGTAATCCCACGCCTTTGGAAGGCTGAGGTGAGTGG